AAGCACACAGCAAACAGCTGTAATTTTATGACATTCTGGAGAAGACGAAGAATTAAATGACATCTCATTTGTCAATTTCTAATTAATCGTTTAGGTTACAGATGGACAAATAAATTAGATATCTAAAACCCTATATATCCGCGATAAGCATTAACCTCCTGCGAGTCAGGCAAAAAGGAGTCAACTCTAAATCTGGGTAGGTCTGCTTTATCTTTATGTATGCGTGAATGTGGGAGGCAAATGTTTATTACTAGGGGGATTGCAAGAAAGCGCACCGGTTTAGTAACGCGTACGCACGCAACTACAGAGCCGTTTTATTTATGGTCCAGTACTGCAGTTACGTTTAGATCCTTGCGTAGAACTAAAATGGTATTTTGGTACTCAGTTCTACAGATTACCTTTAACAGATAATATAATGTAGAATAGATAGAAATATATCAATATTCTAAAACCAAAATGCGACCCTTTGTTAACTTTATCGTAGAGATTTAAGTTTGTTATAAGTTCTTCTTTGCAAGTACATTCAGTAACTTAAATGTTACTTACTTTTAACAACATTTTTGTACAAATACAGACAAAAAAAATTATTCCAAGTATAGGAAAATGTGAATTGAAATACGACGTACAGTTCATCTCATGAAGGAACATATTAAGGCCGTTTGGTTAATAGATTGCTCTTAATTAACAACCGTGCGAGCTTTATTGCCGCTTTACTTGAGATTAATGACTTCCAGATGTGTCTAGTGTTGATATATCACTTCAGCGGTTGGCATATTGTCTTTAAAAACCCTTTAGCCATTCACACGGACGATAAAACGGCAATACAAGACGATAGAGCGTTGTAACGACTGCAACAAAAACAAGGTTTTTGACTCTAAAGTATATTGTACACTTTTCTCTACTATCAGTGAGAAAAATTACTTTACAAAAAGGTATTTCTAATAGATGCAGCTATAGTTTAAGTTAGACTTAAGTAAAACCGTAAAAGAGTTAAATAATATAAATGTTTTGTTTTTATTTTCTGCTTAGTACTTAGGACTATTAAAGTTAGATAACGATCATAAGTCCAATTTTGTCATTGTGTGTCATTGTGCATAACAATAGTGGTATGTAATAAATGTTTATTCACACGCGAGCTTACGTCAAAAGTGTAATAAATGTTTTACGGCGGCGGCGCACTATCTACGCGAGGCCGCGCCTTCAATTTCGAAATTGCAATGCGGCACTGATTCCACCAGCCGTGCATCACGTTGGATGCCCACACGAACACGGCTAACACAAAGAGACGTTTACCACTGACGTTTATATTTTCTGCTTTTGGAAAAATCGCCGCAAGAACTCTCGTCGTCTTTAAATAAACATTGACAACAATTGTGGTGTTAGGGATAGAGAAAACCTGGACGTCTTTTGACATAAGAAAACAAACTTTTGTGTCACTTATGAGTACAAGGTCCATTATAAGTTGTAGTCGATAAATATAAACAGACGCGACGTACTTTTATGACTTACAGAACTACGTTGAATGTTCTTGAACTTTTACCTAACTTGTGTTAATTCGATTGAGTAATATTTATTATCAATCCCACGTGGGCGATGTATAATTGATTCCTCTAATATAGCGGCGCCTACACAGCAGCTACTCTTCGATTTATCAACGTTTAGGGATTTTACATATTAATGGTGCCCCCAACTCATTAACAGCTACCTAAAATATTCATCATTTAGTATTAACACCCACATATACTAAAGTGTTACAATCGCTTACGTAAGCCGCGGCTATTATCGTCAACAATTAAAAGAATTGTACCCATCCACTGCGGTTGTTAACGATTTCCAAAGCACCGAATAATCATATCTTTGAAATGTATGAAATCGGCCATGAACTTTGAAATGATTGTTACGAATCAAACACTATTAAAACTGTATTTTTGGACACGTACGGAACTTTATTACTGATATTTTTATACTTTGAATGGTTATCTATAAACTAGCAGTTGCCCACAACTTCGTCCGCGCGGAATTAGAAAAAACTTTATTAATAGCATATGTGGTCTTCCATATTATGTTTTACATATATACCGAAATTCAGCTAGATCCGTTGAGCAGTTCCGGAGATACCTTCAAACAAACATTAATCCATCCATTTAAACATTCGCATTTATAATATTAGTAATTAGAAATTGCCTGGTATCCATTTAGACTTATAAGCAGTTGCATACATTATGTACTAATTACTACTGTTGTTGTTTGTTATAGTTAGTTCAACAACCACATGCTGATGTCTGAAAATATCTTTGTATTGCATTGCTTTGAACCCACAATGTTCATTTAATTGTGCGTGCATACAAACGCACGCAGTCATTGTGTTTAGAGTCTGTAATCCTAAAATAGACACAAATTGCAATGTAACGACCGTAAGACTCGACGCCATATACGAGCGGCCTATTGCAACCTACAGGGATGTCACAAGACATTTGAAAAAATATTAAAATTGTAGTGGTTTTTTCTATTCCTATTTCTAATTTAAAATAAAAACATTTGAATTTATTGAATTTATAATACTAAACTCTTCCAATATGTGAATTATTAAAAAACAGTTCATCAATCCAATAAATTACTTTCAAAACATTAGCATTCCTTAACTCAAAACAAAATATCGACTAATAAAATTGTAATTCACTATTAATTCAGTATGAATCTAGGGCCTATTTTAAATTGAGTAACACAGAGATTTAAAAGTATGAGATAATATAAGATGATGATAATAAAAAAGGACTTATTATTAAAACTTTCTTATAACTAAAACTTGACAGATGTCAACCCTATTGGTATGCAGTATGCAGGTGCCGCACGACTCACTCAGGCAGCGCCATACGCCGGCATTAGCATCGCGCTGTGGTCTTTCTAACCTAATCGCATTTACCATAAGTAGTACAAAAAAGTCAAACATTTAAACCAATTAATTGCTCACTGAATTAAATGTCTCGTAATTACAACGTGCTGTTTTGTAAAAATGGCCGTACATGTAAACAAAATATTACTTACAAGTGTATTAGATGCAACAGGTATATCTATCATATTCGTATATAAGATATAATTAAATTATATTTAGTTATAAACCGAATGCTGGCAAATAAGACTGCTATAAGTCTTACTTTCAAATCATTTTACCTCATAAAATAGATATGAATTAAATTTATTTACAGGACAAATAAAACAACGCCAAATCATTCTTTTATATCTCATGCCATTATAAAAGAGGGCTTTACAAATATCCAACATTATATTCTTTTTCAGAATTTTTTGAACAATGAGGGCAAAGAGAAAATTTATCAACCAAAATATTTAATAAAAATGCCCATGTACACGATATTTATTATACAAGCAACAGATTAAATTTCCGATTCACGGAGTAAATTAGTGATGTACTCGATGCGGGCCTACAGGACCGTAGTTCGGCGCATTGCGGTATTCATTTTCAACATAAAAACTTTGCCCTCGTCGAATGAATTTACGATGCGTAATTTATAAGTATCATATCGAATAACCCTTTGACAACATATTACCCGTTTACTTTGCAACCCGACACCATTCCTCGAGGCATCGCGTGTCGATGCATGCAAATAAAATATACGCATGAGGCAGATTTTTGAAGCAAAAACAAAACTGGTTTATATAGTGACGTCCCTACGTGGTACAGAATTTGAAAATATGTATTTGGTACTTTATCGATAAAGGTCAATCATAGATTTGTTTTTTCATATTTTATTATCTGCCAAATTTGTCTCTTCTCTCAGAGTTCTTAAAACTTTTCTAATAAAAGTTTTTATTAATAATATATAAATAACTTTTTTCGTCTTTGATGTGCTTTGAAGTAAAAAGATTAATTAAAATGTTTTGATTAAACTCATGTTTTTAGCATTTACGGTCTTCATAGTACGAAAAAATGGTTTCATTTAAATTTGGTATGAATTTAAATTAGCAGCTAGGTCTGATATACACATAATAAACTACACTAGTCACTAGACCCAACTCAGCATTGCGAAAATGTAATGAAATTTAACGACCAAGCGCTTTTCAGTGATATTACTATTCATGGTTTTATTTATTTGGTTATTGGGTTATCTTCTACTTAATATTTACTTGTTTACAGGCACAGACATATGTACATTGTGATAAAAGGATCAAATATTATAAAATATTTTGAAGAAATATGTAGACATTCTTTTTTCTACTTTTAACACCATCATCTTTGCTTTCAAATTTTCATTCCGCGATAGCCGTAGCTTGGAAGACAGCCAATATCGAACGATAGACGATGTCTGGAAAATATACAGGGTGGAAACTTCTATGAAAAAAAAACATGGCATGGTAATGGAAACTAACATGCTGCTTACTTAAATATGTATAAAATTATTACGTATACAAAATAAAAAATAAATACAGTTAAAATTACAATAATGTTAAATAACTAATGACTTGGTAACATTATTGTAATAGTACATATTAAGTTAAGTTAAGTTAATTTTAAAAAAGAAATAAAAAAGTTTCATCATAATACGACTTGACAATTCACCCGCAGTTTAACTAGGGAATTAATTATTTTACATTTCTCAGTAATGAAATAACAACACAAGGCCTTTTAAAGATACCTATTAAAATGTATAAACATA